CTTTGTCCACTGTTCACAATTCCCACACAAAGGATTGTCAGCTTGCAGTCTGCATAGCTCATATATTAAAAGGTTATCTTAAATTAATTATATGCTACTTGGAAGGACAGTTGCTGGTGATGTCCGTGCCTTAACCTTCACATGGCATCACACTTCCGAGCATCAGGCCTTCTGTTTGGGTACCACGTGCTACCTCCTGTGTTTTTCGAGTTTGGCTGTAGAGGGGTCCCTGGAGAAAAGCTCTGTTCACCTTCCAATCGCAATCACATCTACCTGCTGGGGAAAACCTGAGACAGCAGGTGCCTGCTCCTGAGGGAAGAGGAGGCTCCTGATGTTTGCTGTGAGATGTGCTGCCAAGATGAGAGGAGGTGGAGCATAAAAACTCAAGGTTTAGCAAAAAAAACAGAGAAGCCACGTGTAACACAGGGAAGGATTCAGAGAGGTTTGAGGACTAAACCACACTGGGAAAACACGATTGTCTAAGTGGCTGGGAAAAAAGTCTGTGGGTGCTGTCACAGTGGTGGTGTGCATTTTTTATAAAGTCTGTGCTGCCGTCCTGCAAAGCTGCCATCATCCTTCATTTCCCTCCTGCCCGTCCCCGGTGGGAACGTGGGGCTGTCCCACCTAGTGGACTACAGCCTCCCAGCAGAGTGGTAAGGAGAGAGATAGCGCTTGACAAAGTCACAGGTGGCTGGAAAAGAGATGCAGGAATAAGTTCGCTTCCTCACCTTGTGCTTTGTGTTTATTGTTTTCCTCCTTAGGAAAATTGCACCTTTATATCATGGTCATGGGGAGTTTCAGATAGAGTTCCAGGTCACGTTAACACAGTAACAGGGCTGCTGAAGTGTCTTCAAAGGAAAGGAATTATTTGTGATATTCTCAGCATGTAATTTGCAAAGTGCTAGAGTCAGCTGAATTTAAGGTTCCCTTTACTTCCTGCTTGGTAAAGCCCTTTGCCTGTTTTGAGGTGGCTTGAAGGAGAAGAGGGGAAAGGAAGTTGGCCAGTGTTCTGAGCTGGCTGCTGGCTTTCCTGAGCAGTGATTTTCAGAGGTGGGAAGTTAACTCACTCTTCTAAGATTATTGGTTTTTAAAACAATTTTTCAGAATGTAAATGTGTGAGGATTAGAAGATGGACAAAAATGAAAATAACTGGATTGGGGCAGTGAGTTTATAGGTAACATTTTTCTTTACTATTATTTAAAAGTTAATTTTTAAAATGTCCAGAGAGAGAAAAGGTACTAAATGTTTAAGCATATAGGTACTAGGTATGGGTGATTGTAAGGGATATAGTTCTTGCCCCCAAATGTTTTCAGGTAAGTTTAGGAGCCCCTTCCTCAAGCAAAACTTTGAGGAGGAACCCTTCCTTCAACCCTTCAGGCATATTTCTTCATCATACACCCAGAGGAACCCCATAGCTGAGGCCTCCCCAGTCAGAGGCTTCTAGGCTGAGCTCTCCCAGCCTCACTAGTGCACACCTGGTGGCTTGGCTTTGGAAGTAGGGGTCTAGGAGCACTGGGGAGTCCAGCATCCTGCAGCTGGCAGCATGCACTTGTGAGTCTGCTGGGAGAAATTGGCAGGGTCTTGTCAGTGGCTCCTAAATGGTGGCTTTTCTCTGTCTAAAGCCAACCAGCCTTTGCAAGGACAGACCCACACCTGAATCTCTTTGCCAAACATCTCCTTACCAGTGCACTGACCTGCTCAGAAGAAAAAAAACTGAAAGCCTTCAGTGACCTCCACTGCACTCTGGGTATAGACCAGCGGGGCCAGGGCAGAAAGCCAGTGGTGATCTGGCCCCATCCTTGGCCCATGGAGCCTGAGCTCTTGCCTTCCCATACTCTTTCCAGGCCTCCATGTGTGATGTGGATCCTTCACACCTCTCTTCTCTTACTCATTTTCCTCAGAGTATTGTTCCCTGACTAATTATCGAGCAAGTATCTAGGATATTCAAGACTGAGTTTGGCAGTCACCTTTTCTTGGGCCTCCTTCCCTCCTTTTGTCCCCTAACACCCTCAGCCTGATAACCAATCAAGTAGTTGGAGTCTCTGCAGTTTGCGCTTTGTGCCCTGTGCATGGCTTAACCCCAGTGCCTGGCATGTATTAGATGCCTAGTGAATGCTTTATTACTTAAATTTGAAGACTGCTCTTAAGATGCTGAGAATAGCATTAAGAAAGAACGTTTCTTTTTTGGTATGTTAAATACAGACAGACCCAATGAAATAAACATGTCCAAGGTTATTTATTTATTTATTTTTAACATAGCAAAAAAGTTAAACATAACAGCACCTCTCCAAACTTTGGTTTTCTTCATACAGTCCAGAAAAGCCTGAGTTTGGAATCATAGGAAGCACTCTATTAAGTAGAGTCATTATAAAAACCAAGATCCTAAAGGCATAAAGCTTGGGAGACCCGCTGTGCACTGCAAGGGGCCGCTGGTGTGGACGGAGTATTTGATTACGCTCATACAACTTCCCTGGCAATTTTTTGTTTTAATTGGCTTAGATGTGGTTTAGATCTAATTTTAAGGTACTGGTCCCTCAGAGACTAGAGATCCTGAGCTAGTCATGCAGGCCTTTCCCAGGATCCCTGCAAAAGTATCTTGATATGTTTTTGATAGATGACACCAGTTTTTGTTCAGCTCTAAGTGTTCATTATTGAAAGAAAGTCTTACTGTCTTAAACACAGAAACTTCAATTTTACTTTGTTTTTGGAAATGTCCTTTTTGTTTAAAAATACATCTTATAGATCTTTTCATTTCCTGTAGTGGTGAAGTACTGGGTAGACTGCATATTTTGCAGAGCAGACATTTCACAGGAATATTCTTCCAGGGCACTGTCTTGACACGTGAAATACTTCCCCTAAGAAGAAGGCAGCCATTGGTCCTTTTCAGTTTCGTGGGGCCACCCCAGACTGAGCAGTTATGCCATTTGGGGAAGCAGTGTGGCCCTAAGCTCTGAGGGAGTGACAGGTGGGTCTCTGCGGTATCACGGCTTAGGGCTGCATGCAGCCTGGCACTGAGTGCACTTGCATGGTTAATTCTTCGTGAGGGTCACAGAGCATCTCCAGGGCTGACCCAGCACCCCTCCTCAGCCTCCCCCAAGTCTCAGGCACCTGTATCTGTCCTGTGCGCCACCCGCAGTCCACTGACTGCAGCCCCTTCCCCATTTGCAGAATGCCATCCAGCCTTTGGGAGGCGCAATGCCAGGGGTTCTTCCTCTCATCTGCTTTCGTTTTCCTTGGCTTGATGAATTGTACGACTTCTTTGTCTCTCCCATTATCCTGTAGTCAAAAAAAAAAAAACCAGAAATACTAAGAGTTGCTTCTAGTTAGACTTGTGCTGTCATCTTTAAAGTAATGTATATATTTTTTGCATTATTCCAGTTGTTAGGTAGGTTGCTTGTGCCTTAGCCCCAGAACAATGTGACTGTCTTTCTCAAGTGGCTTGAACTCTGTGATAAAGGGGAAGTCGGGGCTGGGCTCGGTGCATACCCAGTTGCCTCGGCCACTTGCCCTCTATCTCATTCTGTACAGTCAGTGTAGGGATGGCTAACCTTTGCTGTCTGTTCTAAGAAGAAAACATGGCAAGACCGAGACACTAACTCTGACAAAATTATTTTAGTCCCTCTGGAGGAAAATATTTTTTTATCCACTGTTAATGCTAAAACTCAGTGTAAAGTATTTAATAATGTACTTCTGCAATTATGTAGATATTTTACAGTTTTTAGAGATCTTTTCATTGAACCACTTCAAAACAGAAGAAACAGGCATTTTAAAAATTTTCTCTTAATTTCTGATGCTGTGTATCTAAAAATCTTTTTTTACCAATAAAAACATGTTTTAGTAACTCCTTTAAAATCCAGAGCATTACCAGAAAAATAGACTAATAAAGTTTTTATTTTAATAAAAAGTTGTCTTTTTCTCAGTTTAACTTTGAATAAACCATGTTTGAATTTAATATATTTTTGGAGCAAAAAAAGGATCTGAACCCATGATGAAATCTTGGCAGTATATTTGTATTTCTTTCTTTATCTACAGTATTGTCTTGACAAGCCCATCTGAAGTATCAGGCTCTTAAAAAGGAAATAAAGTTTGCAGTTTGGGGTTGCGTTTCCTACCACCCTGTGCTATGATCTGTGGAAGAGGAAATGGAATGGTATTTCATCAGAAACTGGTTTGGTTTAACTTTCTGTATTTCTATTTTTTCCCAGATATGATCTTTCTTCAGGGATCAGAGGTCATATTTAAAGTGGCTTTAAGTCTTTTGGGAAGCCATAAGCCCTTGATTCTGCAGCATGAAAACCTAGAAACCATAGTTGACTTTATAAAAAACACACTACCCAACCTGGGCTTGGTGCAAATGGAAAAGACCATCAATCAGGTATGATGCATTCCAAACCTTAGTCTTAAGCTGTCCTGGATAGGAAGAAGCTTAACTTTTTTTTTGATCAGTACCTATTTCCTACCACTTTATATTCTGAGGAGCATCTTGTGTGATACCTGGCATGTAGGAGACACATTGCAAATATGTGTGCAGTGATTAAATGCATGTCTGAGTGTGCATAATGTCATGGTGCAGTGGCACATGGGAACGTGGTGGCAGTGTTCATGTGTGACAGCTAGCACTGGTTATCAGTACTTATAATCGAGAGGCTTCACTCCCTAGTCATTTATTCTTCTGAAATACATTTATTCAATTTGGTCTTTTGTGAAATGAGCACTTCGATTATTCTGCTGAATGTATTATTTGGAATTTTCTAAAAATAACTCTGATTGCAGAGTTGTGATAGAGTATATATTCTATAAGTTGGTTCCATTATGTGGTTTTTAATAGAATTCAGTTCCACATTTGTGGTTTCAGCACTTCTGGTTTCTGTATACCGTAGAATCATTACTCTTCGTAGTGTTAGGGATGAAGGTTAATTGAGCCGCAAATTACAACTAGACCAGTTATTAAATGGTGTGGGTTAAGGGTGGGAGCAGATTTTGACTCTGCATAAGGAAGACTCTTCCAGTAATGACTGTTGACTATGAAAGTCTGAGCTGCTTAACATAGGGTGGCATCACCATTGGAAGTGTCCAAAGGCTGGATGGCTAAGAATATTCTGGTACAGATTTCTGTACCTGGGCACTGCAGTTGCAGTCAGGCCTCACACAAGCCTAGAACTTAGCTGCTCTAAATATAGTGAAAATGTAGAGCAATTAGATAAAATCAAATAGGAAACCAAGGCTTTTTTTTTTCTTTTAAAACTTTATTCTAAGGGTCTCTGATATTCCAGGAGGAACCCGGAAATTCCAGTAGATTGCACCCAGATGCAGCATCTGTGATTTCATTTGCTGCACAGAAAAAGAAGCAACTCTAGCCTGGGAAAGGAAGAGGGTTCCATCCCGAGTGCTCCTTTGGGTCCTGCACGTATCACATGTCTACATGAAAGAACAGCCCTCCCTCCCAGCTCTCCCATCTTTTGATGATTCATGGGCTCTGTATCCCTCTGTGTCTTACTTCTCTGGCACAGTCCTCTCATTGTGAAGAACTTTGGCTTGTGGAGACCCTACTTTGGCCAGGTCCTGTGTGACTCTCTACACACAGGATCTCATTTAATCATGACTGAATTCTGGAGAAAAGACGTGGTTTTAACCCATGAGAAACCTTGGGCTCAAAGTGGTAAATGCACCGGCCCCCAGTCACTGCTGCAAAGGGGATGGTAGGGTTTCAGACCCAGGTCCTCTCTCCTCAAAGTCCTTTAACAACAATTCAGCACCAACAAGTGCTTGTGGGTCTCATTTCGTTACAAGAGTTTTTCTGTTTTTTACCTGTATTTTCTGAATTCTCTACCATTTTGATTCTTTAATGTCTGACATTTATGTACATTTATTCCCTTTTAGAGCTTTCATTACATATACTTACATTTTCTAAGTATAAAATATCTCTGGGGCAAACAGGAGAGCCTTGGTCTCTCAACCAGAACTAACCTCAGCGCCCAGGGAGCACCTTGACTTTGCCCCGGGCTCCTGGCTACAAGGCAGGCAGTCTCAGCTGACATTCCATTTACCTCCTGGGTATTGAACCCCCCACAACAAGAAAATTCCATTTTCCTCCTCTTTTCTGTAAAGGATACAGAGTGTCAGATGCTCTTAAATGTTGGAAGAACAGAAATGGACATAACATGGAGAGAGAACAGTTTTGTGTGTACGTACCTGATTTGTTTCAGGCAGCTGTTTTGAATTTGGTGTCCTTTATTCCACTGATTCCCTAACTACCCTGGGAGATGTATTATAATCCCCATTTTTATAGATGGGGAAATGGGGCATGGAGAGAGTGACATGCCCAGCACCCTGTATAAAGTAGCTGAGCCAAGAATGTCATGTGTCTCTAACACCAAAGCTCATCCTGTGCAGAAAATGAGCATGTAATCCAGTAATTACAAGCGTGGTGAAGAGCCACAGCGGTGCTTGTGCAAGGGCTTATGGGAGCCAGGCTGGTGGAAAGAGTGAGTGAGTGCTGAGAACTCAGGGAATTGAGTTTTGGGGGCTGGGGGCTGGGAGTGGTGGTGTAGAGAACACAAAATCTACATTTTGGGCCCAGGTTTTCATTCTGTCAGAAGCCTTGATGGAAAACAGTTATAATGCCGGGCATCTCTCTGCCTCCTTTCCCTCCCATGTTTTCCATCTGGAACTTGACACCGAAGTGCTCCCTATCAGATTTGCTACTCCCCCACACCCCCCTCTGCTCTCCCTCTACCCCAGAGGGTTCTCTAGTCCAAGGCCTACTGAGGGATGAGGCTTGAGGTACATTGCACTTTGCTCTGCAGCCTTAGACAACCCCCCAGGCTCAAATCTTGGAGGTCCCCAGGGGAGCAGTGATAGAAGCACTCATTGCACACAACTGAGTGTGGATGGGTGGAGTCTGGGTGGCCCCCTGTGACTGCTTTGGCCCCACTCCATAAATGCCCCCTTTATAGATAGCTTGAGCTTGAGCAGCAGGGACACAGCCTGCATCCAGGATGGGAGACAAGGTAGCTAAGGACAGGGCTCTGGGGTTTTGGCTCGATTTGAACAGGCTAGAAGCAGCCACAGAGGGACAGGCTGGCTGGAGTTGACAGAGTACAGCACAAAAAGACAAGGGTCTCTTGAGGCTGTGTGGTAGTTCGTCAGTGTGACTTAACTGTTGTCAGTTGACTATAAACCATAAAAATCCTAACCCAAGAAGGGGAGAAATCCTGGGAATAAACAGAATTCCAGAAAAGAAGAGGAGGTCAGGTTTGTGTTCTTGTTACACTGACTGCCTAAGCATCCTTAGTTCAGTGGAAGGAAGAAAAACAGAGTTGAAAGGTGTCTTTGGGGAGTAGGGCAAACAGCCTGTTTTCAGCATCCCTTGAGCTCTATCGAAAGTGTGGCCCTAGACCAGTGTTGCCATTGTATAACGTAGGAACTTATTAGAAATGCAGAATCCCAGACCCACTGAGTTAGAATCTGCATTTTAACAAGATCCCCAAGGGGATTCATACACACCCAAACATTTGAAACACTCTGCTATGGGCAACTTCATTAAAAACACACTAGACAGTTCCCTGTTCCAGGTGAGTTTGTAGGATGGAAACCAGAGTCTTAACAAGGTTCCTTTGTTCAGCAGACGTGCTCAGATCCCAGCGGCAAGCCCACCGCCTCTGCCTTGGGAGAGGCCCTCACGGCTTAGGCGGTTTACACTGTTTTTTAACAGGCCAATTGGTTGCTGTATCAGGAGGGTGGGGTACAGCGAGGGGAAATATTTTACCACTGGTATTGTTTAGAATTGCTCGCATGCAGTGATAATAAAAAGCAGACCAATTTTCAGTTGGATTTTTAATTGTTTTAAAATTCATTGCAGACACTGCGCCCCCTTACTGCCCGTACCTGGGCCAACTGCCCCACTGTCCAGCCTTGGTATGCCACTGAGACCAACAGATTGGAGGAAGGCACTGGGGGCTGGGAAGGTGGAAAGTATGTGGCTAATTTTGCACTTCATTGTGCAGAGTGTCCACAACTGCAGAGAAATGCCAGGTCTACAATAGCAAATGAGCCAGGAACATAAACAGACAATTCACTGAAGAGGGGATCCATCTAGGAAGCAATATCTGGAAAAATATTTAGCCTTATGCGTAATTTAAATCTAAATAACATGTAATGCTTTACCTACTAGATCAATAAAATGAAAATTTTAAATGCCAATACCTAGTGCTGACGTTGTATACTGTGTCTGGCACTTTTCTGTTGCTTATGGCATTGCACATTGATTATTCCCATTTGGGAAAGCAATTTGGCAATATGTTTCACAAGTCAGTCAAATATTCATACCCTTTGACTCAGTAATCCGGTTCCTTGGAATGTATCCTTAGGAAACTATTCAAAATATGGGAAAAGCCATATGTACAAGAATGTTTAGGGTTGTCATTTATAACAACAAAAACTTACAGCTAGACACCCAACCCTTGATGAATGGATTAACATGATTACGATATATCAAATAGGTAGAATACCGTGAAGCTATTTATGTTTATGGTTATGAAGAATATATAGTAATGTGAAAAATCATCATTCGAGGACCAGGACTCTACTTTCAGCCACATAACTGCCATGGTTTAGGGTAAATTCTAGGGCATTAACTGCAAAATCAAGGGCTGTAAGTGTTTTGGCAGCCAGGAGATAATGATGCAATTAAGCACAGATGATTATGGCCAGGATGTTTCCTAGGGATTAATGGGGGCCTGCAAGAGTTTACAGCTTTGGCACAGCTGAGAGCCATTAACCGTAGCAGCTCATCTATCTGTGTAAAAGGCCAGAGGTTTTGTTCTTTGGTTTTCCAGGTTAAGAGTTTATTTAAAAATACATTTTCATGGAAGAAAAAAGTTTAACTGTGTATGACATTTATTCTGTACCATATTTACAATTACACACTAATGCTGGGGCAATCTCGGTTTTAATATTGGTGGTTTCTACTCTGAGCAATTCAGAAGTTCCATGATTGCAGCATCCTTTGTAATTTTGCTGAAGCATGAGGTTGAATATGAGGGTTTCATGGCAAGTGCGTAGAAGCAGATCCCTTAGCTAAGCAAGCACAGACTCAACTTGCCAGACATGTGCTGGGAAGTCCCATGAGCTGTTCATAGAACCCCCACAGCAGTGCTGGGAGGTAGGTGTCATCACCCACAAGTTGGAGGTCGAGAGAGGTCAAGTAACTTGCTCAAGGTCATGCAGGGAATTGCCAGTGGAGCCCTGAATCGAGGGCTGACTCAAAGCCTGTGAGTCAGTCTCCTTGGTGCTGGGATAGAGGTGATAGTCCCCACCGACCTCTGGGTCACCCTGAGGGACAGCAGAGAGTCGGATCAATAAACTGCCCACACGACACACCACAAATACAACATGTGTTAGTTTTTCACTGTAGAATGACTTTTGTGCTGACTTAGTATTATCCGTTGAATTAAATTGAAAATCAGGAAGCTGAAAAATTAATCTCAAGGAAGAGAAGGTTGCTGGGAATGGTGAGAAAGTCAGCATGACTTTTGAAAATTGATTTCAGGAAGGGAGGACTCTTCCCTGTTTGAATGCTAATAGGAGGCCATCAGCGGGAATGAGTTTTTCATTGATTTTAACTATGTTGGAGTCTCTTTCTTAAGGAAATGCCATGAAGAGTTCATTTCTGCTCTTACAAAGTTGACTTCATTCTCCCAAAGTGTGTTCTGGTCATGCTGGCTTCTGGTTTTTTTAATATGGTGACGGCATCCTCATGCACACTAGGGTCTCCCTCCTGTGCTGAGAGGCACAGCCTCCAGGGGTGGTCGTGCAGACATGGAGCACAAGGGAGAGGAGGAGGCCTTGGGCAGCAGCCGCCTGTGCCTCTGGAGCCCCCCTCCAGCACCGCTCCCGTGAAGCTTAGTCACCAGGAGAAAGTACAAACACGAACAGCTCACTCGTGCACTTTGGGGTTGTTTTTCACACGGGTGCTTTTTTTTTTTCTAATCAGTGTTACTATTATGGGAAGGAGGGCACCTCAGGCATTGTTTCATGTTCACTCATCTGTGTGGGTGACATTTGGGTTTTGGCTCATTTCTGCATATCTTGTGTGCAAAGGAGGGTTTTTTTAGTAAACAGTTCCATTACTTAGCTGTTCTGGAGGGTGACATTTGGGTTTTGGCTCATTTCTGCATATCTTGTGTGCAAAGGAGGGTTTTTTTAGTAAACAGTTCCATTACTTAGCTGTTCTGGTAACTCTGAAAACCCATCTGAACTATAATTAAACTTTGACTTGGTGACTGGGCAAGTAGGGCTATGATTCTTTTGTTTTGCTTTCTCCCTTTGACCCCTAGTTGTTGTATCTTAACATAATGCAATTTTCTGAGAAAAAGGAAACAAGTCCTAAAATAAGAACTAAAAATAAATTTTATAAGCTTGTTTAAAAATAAGGTTTGGACTTCTGGAAAATGAGCAGAGGCCCACCTTAGGTTACCTGAGGATTATTTCTATATGTTTCTTATATCCTTTCTTACCAAATAAATCTGTTAACTTCTCAGCGCAGTTTTCTTGTTTATCACTAATAGTAGCAGGCCTAGAGGGGGTACTTCATTGGTGTTCACTGACATGGTCTCGTGTGTGTGTGTGCTCGCATGTGCTCTCATTTTCAGTGCCCAATGACCTTTGTGTACCACAGGTGTTTGAGATGGACATCTCTAAACAGTTGCAAGCATATGAAGTTGAATACCATGTGCTTCAAGAAGAACTTATCGATTCTTCTCCTCTCAGTGACAACCAAAGAATGGATAAATTAGAGAAAACCAACAGCAGCTTACGCAAACAGAACCTGGACCTCCTCGAGCAGCTGCAGGTAGAGCATGCTTATAAAGCAGCTTCCCGTACCCTCAGGGTATGGTAGTTCATTAACTTCTGCAAGGCGCCAGCGGGCTGGGCTTTCCCACGACTGCAGGACCTCTCTCTCCCTGGTCTGTTTATAGTTGGGATCAAAGGTATCCCAGGAGAATTGGTCCTTTTTATCAAGGGGCACACAGATTATGCTTTCCTGAGGTCAGGCAGTCCTGGAGCTTTTTGAGAGGCTGTTTCTGTGCTTGTCCTTTTAGGAGTCAGGCCCAGAGATGAACTTGGGTTCAGGATGCTGTGGCGCTCTTAGCTCAACGTCGGCTATTGTACTTTTGAGTAATAACGAACGAATCAAAGGCTTGTGCTTCCCTCAGTGGAACCAGCTAGGTCCATGGGGGGATGCCAGGGGAGGAAAGTGACACAGGAATCTACCTGACAAACAAGAGCATGTGACTGTGATCAGTGAGTCCTTACTGCAAATAGAAGGGGTTGACTAGTGAAGGACCCAGCTCTGCCCTTTAGAAGCCTCCATTATAACAGGGATTAAAGTGATAAGGACATACGGCAAGAAGGCATGCACAGATGGCGCACCCAGAAGCGGAGATGGGGCAGGCACACGAGGGTGCGGCTCAGCACCTGGATCTTGCCCACGCTGTCACCCTGGGCACATTGCCACCCTGCTCTGTCCTGATGCCTTCATCTGTGGGACAGGGACAGAAAGAACCCCTAACTGCTTAGAATAGCTCCTTTACCAATTGAATGGAATGAAGTAACCACACAGTCTACTTTTTTAATGTCATGAATAGGTGGCAATGCTGTCACTGTTAAACAGTTGTTTTAGGGGTGTTTTAAAACTTTTTTTTTTGAGTTGCTGCAGAGGAAAAAAAGACATATTTTTCCTTGAAATATATATTTTATGGTGTTGCTGGGCTATCCTTAGAATTAGCTTTCTGTCCTGATTTGAGCCTCTGACTTTTCCCAATAACAAGCTGCCTCTTTGCAGACATAATGTTGTCAGTGATATGAGAAAGGCCAGCATTTGAGAACTTAATAAATCAGCCCTTGTCTAAAATGCTTGCCTCCCATGAGGGAATTATCCCAGAAGACCTTAGGAGATACCACTGTGGAGGAACAAAGAAAAGTGCCTTCCCTACCAGTCCAAACTACCAGTCACATTCTGAGGTGTAGCTTCCTTGTACCCCTTAGAGTGAGCTGTCCTAATTGGAAATACGCCAGTGTCCAGTCCACCAGCTGTCTGCTGTAGCCTGAAGGGAAGGCTCAAGGGGATAAAGAGCCTTATCTGGCCTGTAAAGGACTGCAGGATAGGTGGCAATTTAAAAGACTTCCAAACAAACAGTAGGCCCCTGAAATATGCCATGATGGAAACATTGCTAACAAAGCTCAGATTTGCCTTTGAAGCATTTGGCTCAGTAAGATAGGCTGTACTCAAAAGTTCATTTTATTGGGTTAATGTCTGTGTGGGGATTTTTTGGTGAAGGGTGGAAGTGATTGTTGCTTTGGTGATACTCTACCCCTTCCATGAAGAGAGGGCATTGCTTAAAGTTGCTCAGTATTTAAATCCCTCAAGGAAAGGTATCAAGCCGTCACTGGTAATAACAGACATTCTTGGAATGGTCTTTTGTGACTGCGTGGCTGTGCACTTCAGGAAGTATCATTCAAGACAGCAGCTTATGCCAGTCTGCCAGTATTTGGAGTCCTTGCAGTACCGGGTGCCTGGGGCTACCAGGATTCATAAGATACTGCTTCCCATGAAGAGTTGGGGTGGGGATTGTGGCATGTCAGTTTGTGGGCACGTGAGTACAGTTTTCCCTTTACCCTCTGTGAGTCACCTGGATGCACTGCCCTTCAGCCAGAGTATATACGTCTGTGAGACTCATTCCTCTTTTCCTCTCCTTTCTTTTTTGTCTTTTCAGAGTCCAAAGATAAGTGTTTAATACAATACTTAATTTTCAAGCATAAATCTTTGGTTTTTTGCCATAGTATTAAAATTGACCTATTTTCTAGCTTTGTTCTGTTCACATAATTATTAGACATACCAAAATCCCATTTCTTTTCCTTTTTTTTTTTCCTTGTTAAACACCTGAGAATGTAGTCCAGCAACTAGAGACCATGCTATTTAACCTATTTTGTCCAGCAGCATACGTAAGACTTGCATAGAAATGCTAAATGGTGCCAAATAATAATGGGTATACAGTTTTCATTATAACGAACTACAAGTCATTGAGCACCTGTGAGCCAGGTGCTTGTTGAGATCTCAACCAAGGTGCAGGATGAGTAATGGTTTCCTCCATGAAAGAGCTTCAGTCTCCTTGAGGAGACCTGACATTCACACAGAGCAGTAAGTGACCACACGTCATTTATGTAGCTCCCGTCTAACCTGTGGTGCACCTGGGAATGCTGTGGGACTTCAGAATGAGCCACCCTTCGTGGGATGAGGTGGGATCCTTCCCAGGCCTTGACTGTGGGTAGGCTTGTGAGGACCCGCGTGAACTGCTTGGAGACACACACCAAGCATGACCACCCCCTGCCCGGTAAGCTGACAAACTTAGGATCTTGGTCCTTTTCTCCTTCTATTTTGAGTATTCCCATAGCACAGCAGAGCTAGACTTTGAGTCATGAGTTGTCTGGCACAAGTGTTATCTTGTTCAACAAACTGCTTCCCTTATTTTGAAAGTGAGAAAAAATATGTATCATTTTATCCTCCCTTAAAATAAATGGGGATGTGTAGAGGGCTGGACTGGATTAGTGAGAGAGAGCAGTACCCTTACTGACCCAGTGACCTGAGCACTACAGAACACAGCTGTGGGCTGAGGAATAAGCCTGAAAGACCTTGGGGACAGCAGCAGGAAGGTCAGGGTTTCTCTGGATTTTTCAGGAAACCCCTCAGTCTCACTAAAGCCAACTAATTTGCCTGGGAAGCCAGCCAGGGGTTAGAGAGAGAAGGACGGGTTACAGAGAGAAGCAGCATGAAGTTCTACCTTGCTGACATTAATGTGTGCTCAGGGCTGAGGATGGAGACAGGGTGGGAGTGAGGACACTGCTTATCTCTGTGGTGGTGGTGGCCCGGCACTCAGACCATGCGGCAGCCTCTTGGCCATTGTGAGCACTGCACACGTGTTCTGGGGGAAATGCCCGTGTTCCTTGACATAGTGATGTCTTGTTACTGTAAGGAAAAGAAAAAGAATTTCAGATTAGAAAATTGTTATTACTTGGCCTTCCCATGGAAACCAGTGTGACTGTCAGTCTGAAACCAATTTGTACATGCTTAAGTATATGTATTAGTCAAAATAGGCCAGATTGTGCTGCAATAATAAATAAAGCTCCAAACCTCAGTGGCTTAGTACAACAGAAGTCTTTTTGTCCCTGAAGCACCACCTTTTGTTCATGAAGCCTTCTTGGCCATATCAGAGCTCTCACTCTGTGAAGTCACCATCTCAAAATGTTGCTTCCAAAGTAGCCACAGTAGGAGAAGAAAAAGCTGGAAGGTGTCAGAGTGCCCAGCCTCCCTGCAAGGAATGTGGGAGATGTAGTCTTCCTGTGTGGGCAGAAGGACTGATTATAAACCATAGACTTGTCTCTGTCAAAATATGGCTCCAGAGTGCCCCTGTGTTTTCACTGGGCAGTGACACTCTCATTTCTTCTTCTATTCTCCAGGTGGCAAACAGTAGGATCCAAAGCCTGGAAGCCACAGTCGAGAAACTCCTGACCAGGGAAAGTAAGCTGAAGCAGGCTACCCTTGCCTTAGAGCTAGAGAGGTCAGCCCTGCTGCAGATGGTGGAGGAGCTCCAGAGACCGCCTGCCGGGCGGAGGGCCCCGAGCCTGAGCCCACAAGCAGCTGACAGCACAGGAGACAGCCCCACACCAGAGAAGGGCTCCGGAGGAGGCGGTGCAACACCATCCTAACACAGTCCAGGCCTTAACAGAGAGAGAAGATGCTGGAGGTGGAGAATAAACTGTGAGGCTTGCTTCTCAGGGAGGAGACTGGCTTGCCAGCATGCAGATTCTTCTGAAAGAAAACTTGCAATTCAGGGGGGCAAATGTCCTGGTGTTTTTATTGTTATTTAGGTTCTAGTTTGTCCCTTCTCTGGCCCCGATTACTGTACTTGGTAGATTTAGTGGCATGGACACAAATAAATGCACCTTTATGTTTCCTTGTTTGGTATTGCTGTGTTTGTAAAGAGCATGCATAACATGGAGTTTCAGAAGCTGGAAGGGCTCCAGACGATCCCTCTGGCAAAGATGTGCATCATTCTTTCAGAGAGGGTCCGCGTGACTACATGTTAGGGTGGCAGTTGGCCCTTTTCCATTATTGTTATGGGAGCCCCGGGTGACCATTAGGAAAGATCGAAAGTGATTTATTTAAATTTGACATCTTGAATTTGATTACTACCCTCGGTATTTAATGAAATGTGTCTTTCAAAAGTATTTTTTCATTTTTTTGCTTAGCCTTTAAGTATCAAAATCATTGTAGTTACCGTAAATGTTTTATGGGAAAATCACCATTTTTTAAAACTCTACCAAGTATTACCAGTGTGTGACCTGCGGTTGTAGTCTGAGATATTTATTTCTTTGTAGAGTTTTATGTCCATATTACAGAGTCATGTATTTATTTTTGTTGTATGATGTAATGTAGCTATGTGTCCTTTTGAGTTTCTGCTCCTTGGGAATCTGATTCCTTGCTGAAGTCTCTTGCACACCAGGATTTTCAGGGGTGCCAGAGATTCTGAGACTTTCAAAAAAGAAGCTTGAAATTGCAATCAAATGTATGGCTCCTGAGAGCAGTTTTCAGAGGCATCGGATGTACATTTTTGAATATAACTGACAACACAGTGACTGTCCCTCAGTATGATGAAGACCCTGTGCCTTCAACAAGCAAACAGCCACTCATGGTTGCCCTGGTGTCATCCAGCCACTGTGTGAGGCCTCTGCTGTGTGCGCTCTCAGAGCAGGTTCTTAGCTTAGAGAGGAACTCAGTGGACCCACGTCACTTCCGGACAGCATCACTTCTGTCTCGTAACCACTTTACCATTGTGACCTCTTATCTTCCCCAGGAGTTTCTGTTGACTCTCTCAGTGGTGGGCATCTCTGTTAAGTCTGAGGTGAAAGGAAGGGATTTTTATATTTGGAGACATCATAGATGTTTCCAGATATTTCAAAGGGAGACAAACATGCCACCCCCAGTGCCTAAACAGTTGGTTGACCTTTGGTCCGGACCCCTTCCTGTTCCGCACATTAGAGGATAGCAGTTCCCTTCACAAACTAAGACGACAAGCCTGGTCACCTTTACTCCAAGATAAAACTTAGAGGAGTTAACATTTGAGGGCTTCTTTCCACATATTTTATGGTTTGAATGTTTAATAATGTTGGATTTTAGGCACCTTATTACCATTACCCAAAAACATTGACTCTGCATTAAATAAGGAACAAAGCAATAAAACACAGATATTCATGCCCACACTTTTATGGTGTTCATTTCTGTTTCAAAACAGGATTTTTGCTTTTCAGCCTCGAAGTGAAGGAATGCCTCATGACTATCTATGGATCAAAGTGTGAATATGAGTGAGGTCATTTAAAGTATGGCAGCATCTTAAAGTTTCCAGTGTTGCTACCCGAGGGCTTGTTTGGTTGTAACACCTCTGCATGGAGTGTGACTAGAAGCACTAACAAGGCGGCTATGTCAGTTATATGTGTTGTTAGAGCACTGGGCAGAGGGGACTGCTGACACCAACCTGTGCATACGGGTGGGACAGTCTCAGCCTGTGACTTAGCCAGGAAAAGGAAATTCACAAAGCCAGTTCACATCACTGCATATGGATTCACAGAGGCAAATTTTTAAACCAAGAAAGTTTCATTTTATATTTTCCCCCAACACACAACTATATGCACACACAGGTATGTGTACCTGAAGGTTGTCTTTTGATACCATTCCTGCCTTTTAGACTTAAGACATTATGAGCCCTCAGGAAGTACAGTATTACATAGGACACATATCAAAATATTTTATATGGACAACACTCAGTTTGGGGTCCTCTAAGGAGTTACACAGAACAACAGTGCCTGGGATTTGTGTGTGTGGTTGGTGAATCAGAGAAGAAGAGTTGCTCTGAGTGCTATGGGACACAGAAATTGTTACAGGAGTTAGACCAACACAACTCTGGGGAGTTGGAGAAGTGAAGGTACAGGAGGAGGTGTGTCAATCCTGGCAAGTCACCATTTAGTCTGCCTGAGAAGCAAAACTTTCAGGTGCTGAAGTGGACCTGGGTGGGTGGCGTGTGGGGAGCTGTTGTGAAGCCTTGCTACCATATAGTGACCGCCACCACTGTGCTTCTACAGCCAGGTGTCTAGTGGTGGAACTGAGGCCATCCTTGCTTAACACTCAAGGTCAATTGGGCAGAAGAGCTGGAGGTGGAGCAGAGGAGAAATAACAGTAAGCTGGCTGGCACCAGCCAGACACCTCTGTGTCTGTCCATTGCCACATCTGACTGTGATGATGACCTTGGGAGAAAAATGGCCCTCCACTTTTGCCTTCCAAATGTCACACAAACATGTCTTTGAGGTAAGTTTAACTTAGAACTATCAGGGAAGGGGACTTTGGGAGAGGTAGTTTTGCTTAACCAAGTTGATATAGTATGAACCACCACAGTTAATTTTGGAACCTGCCTAATTCAAATGATAACATGAATGTATGGGTTATTTCATGGAGGTCTTACATCTAAGAATATATGATGAGTGATCCATAGATTGATTTTGGTTTTGGGAGTCACAAAGGTGCAATATTAAAGACTAAAGTCAGCAGACCACTGCTGGCACTCAGGACTCCCCTCCTGCTCCACCCCCAACCCTTCATTTGCTCTTCTCTGCCAAGGGTTACCAAAGTAAGATCCAGAAACTTTCTATGTGGTAAAATAATTTATAGGCCACATCTTAAATTGGAGCTGCTTGAAGGGTTTGAAATGGCTCAAAATATTATTGGACTGGGAAAACCAGAGGGAACCTGATACTTCATACTTGAAAACCACCTCCTACCTCATTTTTGTTGTTGTTGTTTTTTTGTTTGGTTTTTTTTTTTGAGAGGGCATCTCTCATATTTATTGATCAAATGGTTGTTAACAACAATAAAATTCTGTATAGGGGACTCAATGCACAATCATTAATCCACCCCAAGGCTAATTCTCGTCAGT